GCAGTGAATGTCAAATTTGGTCCTATAAATGTTGACAGTGAAAATACAAATGCATGTACATGTACCATTAATTTTTCTTGTTCATGTCTTAAACTCTCCAGCAGCAGCAGTAAGTGTCAAATTGTCTTTATTAACAATATATATTTGCATCTTGTATGTGGCAGTACACAACCTGCCAAATATTGTTGTGTGCCTGTGATTACAATTTTTAGTTTCATTGGATACTGAAAATTAGATGCTTTTTTTCATACACCTGTACACCTACAATGTACACTGCAGCTCAAGGTTAAAGGGATGTCACAGACTAGTCTAACACACTTGTCTGACTCGTCTGAGTCTGAAACAAACTAGTTTAAAAAAACGTCCAGACAAAGTGTGTAAACTTACTTTATTCATTGCCTTAATAGACACATGCCTGTACAGTGTATGCATTTTGATTTGTACCCATTCATACTTACATTGCAACAGTCATATAAATGTACTCATATATATTTTGATGGATGGGTAAAATTAACTTTTTATCCATTATACTCTTTTCATACGAAAATATAAAGCTACAAAATGTAAGTTTCAATTTTTTTATTCCTTTCTTTTTTCTCAGTGTTGATGAAAAGCTTGTCAAAAGGATCACTTACCAGACACTCCAAGCTGTCAGCTTTTGTCATTCACACAATGTAGGTAGAAAATATCAGGCAACTGCTCTTACCAGCTTAACCAATTAATCTTATAAAAACAATTGAACATGTTATCTACCTGAATTCTTTTTTGCCTTTGCTTGCTTTGGTCCCAAAGGCTTACTGTAGGCTCAATTGCAATTGCATTTAATCATTGTATGTTTGCAATGTGATTGGTTAATTTTGTTTATTTTGAATCACCATGGTAATGGTAATCTTCTGATAGACTTGTAGCAGACCAATAATAATTAATTAATTATTAAGATGATAAATTGCTAGTGAACTCTCCCAGAACTTAACCAGAAGGACACCAGGAAAAGATGCACAGTAGACTGACAAAAAAATAACCAAAATATTTTCCTTTTTTTCTTGAAAGTTTTGAAAAGATGTATAAGAAATAGGCTAAGGTACAGTATTGTTTCTTTTTGCAGTGTATTCACAGAGATGTAAAACCAGAGAATATTTTAATAACAAAGGATGGGGTTATAAAGCTGTGCGACTTTGGATTTGCCAGAATGTTGAGTAAGTTATTGAAAACTGCTTTTAGTGAAGGAAAACATATTTGGTTTTAGTCATGTAGTTCTACATCAGATAGTGGTGTAGGTTTTTAACTCCAATCATAGGGGGAAGTGAAGCTATACCAATGCCATCCAGGACTCTTTTCAAAGCTTAACTAAGAATTCCTCTAATTTTGTGTTTTGGTTTGTCTTTTTTTTCGCATCTTAATTTTGCACTTACAATGTCTTTTCTAGCTAAAAATGATGAATATACAGACTATGTTGCTACCCGCTGGTATCGTGCCCCAGAGCTTCTGGTTGGTGATGTCTATTACAGCTTTCCAGTTGATGTGTGGGCCATTGGCTGTGTGTTTGCAGAGCTTATCAGCGGCCAGCCATTGTGGCCAGGCAGATCTGATCTAGATCAGTTATACTTGATCAGAAAGACGTTAGGTATGTTTGTTACCTAGTGATATTGTTTATTAGTATATACTAAAACAGTGGATAGCGTTGATAGCGCGCTCTGATTGGCTAGTCAAACTCTGAATATCCTTTGCTATTTACCTCCGAGCAACTGGAGAAAAAATGGCGTCCCGTTTGCATCCGTGACAGACGAAGAAATCACTCAAATTAGTTTTTGGTGGTGTATATTATCTCACTCTTTTAGTATATACTAAAACAATTTTTCACCTCAGTGTCGGGGAGTAGAAATATTCCTAGTCAGTTCATGCTACGGAAACCGAAGTTAAGCGCCAGTCTGATGGGTCACTTGGCTCGTAAGCACTGAGACTCTACCTACATATTTCAACCTCTGTGTTTTTCCTCCAGGTGATCTCACAGAGAATCAAAAGAAGATCTTTAAAGCGAATCAGTTTTACCGCGGGTTAGCCATTCCAGAGCCTCAAGAAATGGTAAGTCGAGTATTCAAAATTGCACACAGACATACAAACCAAGCACTTCACTCTTCCCCTTCCCCCAAGAAAAAAATGCAGGCCATTTTTATTAAAATTTCTTGCCAATGGGTATTTTAAGCCTTCTGCGTATTAACCAATTCCTTAACTCAACAAGTGAGCGTTCTCCACGAATGACTTACTTTACTTAGATCCAAGGAGCTTAACTCTACGATATGTGTTTGAAGAAACTGCTTGTTTTATTCGTTTGTAACTTTTCTGGAGTTACATGATAATTAACTTTTACCAAATGTAAATTGTCTACCGTAAAGAGTTACTTAACCAAATGTTTCGAGCCCCTGACAAGGAGGACGTTAAGGGGCTCTTTCGTTCTGACGAACGGCAAAACCCGTGAAATTTCAGCTTACAGTGGTTTATTTACGTTATCAACTCATTTGATAGAACCAAATTATTTTGTCATACTTCCCCACCGACGCAGCACCTCAATTTCTTTAGAAACATAGCCCTTTTTCAGGAGTTAATTTTCGTACTTTCCCATCATTGTTGCCGTTTGCTTTTCTTTCTACAGGATCCTTTAGAGTCGAAATTCAAACAACCTCAAGCTTTGAGTTTCATGAAGGTAAGAGATGAAAAAGGTAAACACGGAATCGTTTTGGAATTGTGAGAATCTTTTGAGGCGTGCTATGGTTGCCGCCATTATCATCAAACAATATAATTATATGTATCCCTTTTGTTGGGACAAGTCGTTCTGGGCAATCCCTTAACCTTTTTTAAAACTCCTAAGTGACTTAAGCATCTAATTTCTTC